ATATAAAGATCATTCCAACAGGCATGTAATCACAAATATTGACACTGAAGAATTCCTTCAGCTAAGTAAGCAAAACTGAAATGTAATTATAAATGTACAAAAACATGCTGCATATACCTCTCATTCCACATTGCTAGCGGAGCCGTCCTTGACTTATGAAACGCACTTCGCCCCGACGAGGGCTACGCCTCTGCACTTAACAGAGATTAAAAATTAACGATGTCTTCTCCGATCAGGCAGGTCGTCGCAATGATGCATTTTCTAAGACTAGTCTATTCGATGGTGTGATGAAAGGCCATTGCTCCAAACAGCCACTGTACCTGTACCATATTTTACTGCGATTACTTTACTTTTTATTGCTCTCTTTACAAGAATACGCATGGGAAAGAAGGAGAGTCTCATGATTTTGTACACAATCTGCTCAACTTATATATCCCGTTGATAGTCACGTCACAGAAGAAAGCCGATGCCTGCCCTCCCCCCACCTCCTCCCCTCAGTCGGGTCGGTGTGAACTCCCAACCCCCGAAAAAAAACTTCTGGCTACACTCCTGACAATAGCCCTAGCGCATTGTACTCAGGGGCATAGTTTCCCGCCTGGCACCCGATTTGGCATTTGTGTGGGTCTGCATCAACTGAGAAGTATAGGTTATCTTGCCAGTGTTCTCAATCATTCAGGAAATGAACGAGCAATTATGAATAAGGAAATCACCATTTGTTTTGGAATAGCTCTTTCTTCATTGAGAAAGGCTATTCTGGATAAGCGAGAGCAGATGCGTTTGCCAGATATTGTTAAGGGGCAAAGTGACTACTAGTAGAATAGAGGATTAAGGGGAGAACAAGGAAAAGGAAGTGCGTAGAATTTTATAATTTATTAGCTTCACAATTAATGTGTGATCCCATTTATCTAAATACTCGTTTATTGGCCAATTCTCCAGAGCAGGTGTGAGCCATGCATTTAGGCCATCATCATCATCATCAACACCGAGGCTGTTAACGACATGGTGCTCATATCTCTTACAAGCTGCAAAATATCGTGCAAGTAGATTTATTAAAATATTTAGGAGTTATATAATGAATATCTAAACTGGAAACCTCATATTGAATATATCATAACTAGAAGAGTACGTGCAAAGGGTATTTTGCGCAGGCTGAGCAGCCGCTGATCTGGTATCAGAAGAAAGGCACTCTTGATGGTCTCTAAATTGTATGACGGCCGGTATTAGAATTTGGCTGTGTTCTTTTTTCCGGCGCACCAGCATACGAGCTTCGGCTGCTAGTCCTATTGAAGCGAGAGGCTTTGCGAATGTGCTTAGGCCTTCCAAAATATGTGGCACATGCTGTGTTATACCTGAAAGTGCGAACACTACACCTGTTAAGCCTATTCAACGTACTTACAGTGTAGACTTTCTTAAGGTTGTATAAATCACTTTATAATCATACTCAAATAGTTTTCATCTCTATAGTTGTGACTTATTTTTTTTTGAGCACTGGCCTAGATTCTGTCCGCCACAAATGATATTTGTACAAACATTACTCGACTCCCTAAATGTACAAATTCACGATGTGCTTCTTTTGACGATGCAGCCTAACTTCATAAACATTGTCGACCATGATATTTTTTCGAACCATGTGAAATTATTACCTCATGGCATTTTAAATGGACTGTTACAAAAGAATCTAAATAATCTGCCACTGAATGTGGTTATTGCAATGGACGCTTCACAACCGAGAGAAGATCTGGCATATAAATATTTTGCCCTGATCTTGAGTGATCTTTTCTGTTACGACTGCCTGATTTTCTTCCAGTTTTTGTAGCTGGATTTATGGCCATAATATTAGCTTTACAAAAGTTATAATTCACTTACAGTAGTGGTAATTATCACTGACTCCTTATCTGTGTGCTCTTCTCTCTTCGCGTCTGGTGAAACGCCTCTACTAAATCTCTTCAAAGTACTAGTTTCCGCGCACCTTCAATGTCTTCATTTAATTTGGGTACCACGCCACAAGGGTTTGTTTTTACATGAAAGCCTTGATTCTTTAGCAAAGGCGGCACTTTTGGCACTGATAATTCGGGTTTTCCCACTAACAGCATACATCACAATTACAAGATTCTGCGCACTAACATTCAGAAAAGCTTATAAGACCCTGTCTTACAGCGTTTTTAGTATTTAAGCACCTTTATTTCCCTGGCACAGTGAGTTATTGTGGTCGAGAATAATGGAAGTGGCTATAACCAAACTTCGCTGTTGGTTTACCTCCCTGAACTTTTACTTGCATAGAGCAAGTTGAGCGCTTTCGCCTCTGTGCCTCTTTTGTAATGAGGAAGAAACTGTCAGTCGTTACTTTCTATCGTATCTCCGGTTCACGTCGTCGAGGAAAGGACTCGTAGTACCACCTCTTTGAAATTTGGGCCTGGAAATATCAGAATCAGTTATTTCTTTTGGCGCCTCTACTCTTTGCTACAGTCGCAGAAATGTTTTCTTCGCCATTGAAGAATTTATCAGTCAGCATGAAAAATATATAGCTTAATTCACCTTTAAATATTTTATTACTAGTATTTCATAGTTAAATTCGTTATATTACAGTAGGCTTTTAGTAAAAAGATTGTCATTTACTGAGAGTCTACTGTAGTTAATTCTAGATTATGTGAGTAGTATACCAAAGAAAATACTGAAAAATTCATCTACAGCAGACTCGTGATAATTCAGTCTGATATTTCATACTTTCAGTTAAATTAAACAAAATCCAATTTTTAGTTGACCCTCTATACCTTCAGTGTACCTAAAAGCCACTTAATTCAAACTCATCCTTTGGTTAATTCATAGTTTTTGCAGTTCCATACCAGAAAATATCTGCTGCTTTTCCACTACTATTTAAAAGTTTGCGCGCCTATATAATCCTAAGAGTCTAAAAATGACAAATAAGTGCCTTAGGCCTTCAATAAAAAAGCCTTTGCTAGTGAACAAATGTTTTAAATGAAGCACACGCACAGTAAATCGTGATACTTCTCAACTGGTATAGAGAGGTTTGTGCTGAAGGCACACATAGCAAAGAAGCAGTTGGCAGTTCACTTTTTCTTTAAAAGGTCTGATCAGCAGTATATGGCCAATAAACTTGGGGACCTTACACCTCTGGTTTTCCTTCATTGGGTGCAGTGAGGGTTTAAAAATGTTTAAAAAATTTTTATATGTGATAAAATTAATGCCTAATCATAATGTGTGGTTTATCTAGCCAGGATTCATATATCTGAGAACTTCTGATAATTCAAACAAAATTCAGAGGTCCCTTCAAGTTTTAGTTAAAGAGAGTTGGCCCTATTACTTGGCCCTGCATTGGGTATGAGCCATGAGAGAAGGAGAAGAAGAGGCTGGCAGCAATGGCAGCCAGATTAGTGTTCTAATTTATATTTATTGTTTGTATTGAGCAGCCGTTACAATATAAAGACATTTGTGGGGAAGGAACGGCTCTGTGAAATCATGTGATTGTTCTGTAGTAAATTCAGTGCATACAGACAAACAAAGCTTCCATCATTGCTTAGTTGTTCGGGTGTGCATGATGTCGGAAAGCAGAAAATGTGGCCGCCATAAACAGAGCTGCCAGAATTTGGGTCATTTGATTGCTTTCATGAAGACAACAGCTCTTTTGTGGTGTGTGACAGTTTTTGATGTTGCACACTCATGGTACTGAGTGCAAGGCAAGTGGTTTAGCACTGCTTCCGTGAGGTTTTGATAGAAATCTATGGGGGCAAATTGAGCATGGTAGATTCGCGAACATTTATTTTCATTGGACATTGCACATGCCTTTTGTTCAGCTTTAAGCATCCCTAAATGGCCACTACGTAGATTACTTTGTTGGCAGGGCACTGAGACGTGCTCTTGAGCTCATTAAATTTATTTTCACATTTTTGGCCGTGGAAGGTGATTTCTTTTTTACTGCTCTACCGTTCGAACATTTCTTGTAGCATCTCTGTAAAAATTAGTTTGTCAGCTCTGATAAAGTTTGCATAGAAAGTCATATTTTAATTTCACAGTTTTAATTAATGAAGTAGATTACTGCTCTTTTTTCACTTTGTTATATGGAGTTAACTGTGCATTCGACGTAATGAATTAGGATCGGCACCATAAGTTCGATTGTTGTATCCAACATTTGTTGAAACTAGAAATAAACATCTGCTCCAACAAATCTGTCTTGTGCATGAATCCTACAAACAAAAATGCATTCATCTAGGCTTCAAATTCACTGTAAACTAGGTATCACTATGCTGTCTTGCTGTGTATTTACAAACTAAATAGATTGAAACATGATAGTCAACCATGAAACATATTTGTATTTGTTTTTCATGTTACCACCCTGGCACTAGAGTGAACTGAAACTGAAGGTTAAATTGCAAAAGAAAAAAGCTCATTTGACAAAACAGGTGTGCATTCATATTAATATGAAAAAGAGTGATTTGTCATTCAATGGTATGAAAGTGTGGTTGTTAATTGATTTTCTGTCAAGATTTCTTTTATTTTTACAGCTACCTTTGAAGTTTTGAGTGTTGCACTAACCAAGTATTTTTTCATTGCAGGTGTAGCATTTTCAGTTTCGTTATACAAAGGATCAGTGTCTCTGAAATGAATAATAATTTTCAAGTCAAGTGCCCTGTAACTGAGGTTCATCTGTACTAGCACTGGCATGCGCTACTTGTGTTTGATGCGTCAAATGAAACCCAAACAGCGGCAAGCTTTCACGATAGTATAGTGCGCACCATCTACTTATGACCATTGACAGGTGCGTGCATTCGTTCGGCAGCTCTACGAATGTATGCGAGCCTGTCCATAGCGAAAAGTGGACGGCAGGCACAATACCATCGCGAAGGTTTGCCGCTATTCGGGCGCAAGCAGCGGTAGCTTATAACGCAGACCGTTTAGGCTGGTTGATGGCAGAAGTGCTCTGGTTGTGACTTGTTTTTCTCACACGAGTGCTGCCTTGAGCTGTCTCATCTCTGCTGCTGCAGCTGTCCAACAGCGCTGTGGCTGCCATCAAGTTCGTATACCAGGCCTTGTCAACCAAAAACCCCAGACTCCGTGGGCAGACTGTTGCAGAGGTAGGTTGCTGCAGTCCTGCTGGGGTTACTTGCACGTGCTTTTTAGATGGCTATAGAGAGCATGTTCTGGCTAGTCTTAAAGGCACCCTGCAAAACTTTTTGAGCATAATCAGAAAACACTGCCAATCAGTTGTAGAGGCTGCGAGAACACGCGAACCAATTAATATAGTGCAACACGCGGCCTGTAATTCACAATAAATTATCAAAGTCGGCTAAACATTGTTTTCTTTTTTTTTTTTGACAAATGACGAAGGAAGCTCAAAAATCACTGGTGGAAGCCCATCTATCAGACATTGGCTGATTTTAACACAGCGTGCTCGGTCGTTACAGGGATCGCTGCGAGAGGCCGCGACTTGTCCACGTGCGTGATCACACTGAAAAAGCCACGTATTCGAAGAGAAACAAAAAAAAGGGCTCACGGTCACAAGGCACACATGACGTATTTTCCTTGACCGAGCCATCCTTCCCTTCTTAGCTTCTAGCGCTTTTGTCGTAACGAGAGAAGAAGGAATGAGATAGCAGCATGCGACAAACCTTTGCAACTCCGCTCGTATTGGATGAATTCTTGATATTTTTTCGGCATTGAATTCATGAAGCACTAAGCACTTTCAGTTATTCCATGCTTGCTTGAAAAAGTGTTTCAGGGCCCCTTTAAATTAAGTTGAATGTGTTGAATGTGAATTGAAGTTGCTTGCTGGCAAGCAACTTGGGGTTGGCGTATTTGTTTCACATGTGCAGCTGGAATAGGTGTCTGAAAACTCAGTGTGATGATAGAGTTGGGATCTCAGATCTATCTCTTTTGTCCTGTAACGATTATCATTATCATTACTATTTCCTGTGAAGAAACAATTTGATGTAGGGTATAGGTGTGGTAAAATTTTAAAATATTGAATATTTTTTTATTTCACTCCATAAATTAAACATCAATCCAGAAACTTTTGTTTGGTTACAAGGCATGTGCTAGATAAATAACGCATGGTTACAAGGCATGTGCTAGATAAATATTGGCATGCTGCCATAGTTTAAAACATTATTTTAAAAATTAAAAAAATGTTCCAGGTGTCTCATTTTGCCCCGACTGGTGGGACAAAACAAGACGCTGCGGGAGGCAAAACGAGACAGTCTGATGAAAATTCATTTCTTGAGTTCTTGCTGTAAAAAGACTTGAAATTCACTCTGTGGGCTCTTACGCAGTTTTAAGAAGCCCAGTCCTTGGACTCCACACATTGAATCTAGATGTGGTGTTGTGTTTTTTTGAAACTTTTTGCAGATCAAACACCGCCAGTCTTTCTTTGTGCTAATGTTATCTTTTGTTGAACGATTGAACCTCATTGGATTATTCAATAATTGTATGCTAGAGATATTTTGACGCATCTTCTTCATCTATTTTTGCTGTTTTAATCCAGTACTGCTCAGGCGTTTCATGGCTTTTGACTTCGTTCGCCGGGCTTTGTGAGGCAATGAATTTAAAACTGCTAGATTCAGAATTTCTATTGCATCCTTGTGAACACGAAAAAACCTCGATGTTGCGCGAATGGAGGGAGTCATGTCCTGATCACCAATCAGTGCTTTTGATGTTGTTTTCCTCCCAAGAAGCTCTATGTTATCAGTGATGGAAGTGCTGCTCCAATTGCTCCAAACTGCTCCGAAAGAGAAATGTGGCTCCATGCTGTTTCAAAGTGCAATATTTTCTATTAACTGCTCCAAACCTGCTCCGAAAGGATGTTGGAAAACTAAAAAGAATGAAGTTGAATCATGGGACCATCCTGTGAGCATCAGTGAAACCAAAAGCAAGCTGTATACAGTATTATTCTGGTATGCTACTCAGTGGCCTAAATCCAGAAAAATCGCAAGGGGTGACACATATCAAGCCAAGCCATGGTGGTCAATTCATATATTTAATATGGGCTTGGCTTGTTTTCTATTTATGTAAGAATTAAATCATGCTTTCAAATAGACTTTTAAAAAATGAGCATGGGGTCTGAGATCAAGCAATTGCATTGTTTTATTGAATCTCTTTTTTTCTCACGTTTTTGCGATTTTTTATTGCAAAAACACAGCTGAGGGGCATTCAACACAGGTATGTAGTAAAAGATATAAAAAAAAAAGCCTTTTAAAGAGATAATTGCCCTATATTGTCAGCTCAATTATATCACGTGCTCGAGCTAAATCTCAAGAGGGACACTTGCAAGGGCTGTTTTCCACAGCCGGAACATATAAAATTCCGGACTATTTTGACCCATTCCCGCCCCCATGATTTACACCAATGATGCTGCTATGCGGCTTGTACACTAGCTGCATACTAGCATACGGAATGTTTAATAATAAATATAAATATTGATTAGATGCTTAAGTGATTTTTTTAGACTGCTGGAGTCGTTAGAAACATGTGTCTGCTCCGAAAACATCAATAGCAACTGAATCTGCTCCAAAAAGCAAAATGTTGCTTCCATCACTGTATTATATTATTTTGTATGTCCAAACCTTCCTAAGTAAATAAATATAATATATAGTGTGTGTAAGTTAATGGTTCAATTAATAAGACACTTTCTAAGACATGTAGATGCCTTTTTGCCTTGTTTTGCGCCTCTCACATGCCAGAATTAAAAAAAAAATTCTGTTTTGTCTGCGAGCATCAAACAAACTTGACTTTTGGTGTTACATAGTTTGCAGTCTAAAATAACAAAATAAATGTTTACGTTGCCGTACCGACGCAGGAGTAGCTTCATGCACGGATTCTAAAATTTGCCGGAGAAGAATTTCACCCCTTTTTGATGAGTCAACACACTGACACCAGCTGCGTAATTTTTCGCATAGGAATGCTGTGAGCAATCATCAACTTTTACACATGAAAAGGTAAACAAGGGCCAGCGCTTATTGCTGGAAAAATAAACAAAGAAAAATTGCTCTTGTATTAGGACAGAGGCCGGCAGAGTGAAAATGTGTATTCTGCCCCATGTCTCATTTTACCCCACCTTATTACCCAAAGCACAATTGGCTTTCTGTTGCTTCTAGCGTAGGCAGCTTTATAATTGAGTCGTTGCTTTATATTGCTAAGCATCATGTTTTATTTAGCACAATTTGGCTTTACTTTATATGGCCAGGATCAGCTGGATCTTAGCCATAGGATAAGGCCCACTAGTGTGATCTGTGCCCGGCTTTCTTTGACAGCAAAGCTATTAAAAAGCTTGCAGAAAAATTGCTGCTCTGAAAAAAGTGCCATGATCATCACAAACAGGTATGTGCCACATCAACTACCACCACTCCCTGTAATTAATCTGATGGGCCGGGAGAAACAGATACAGTCAAACCGGGATATAACGAAATTTGTAAAAAATTGGTTATAAAGAGGATTTCGTCATATGCAGGTTTGGTACAAAAATTTGAAAAATAAATGCACATACTAGGCGAAAAGAGAACTGAAGTCTAAAGGCAGAGCACACCCAAAACACTTACTTGGTGGTAAAAAAAAACTGCGTTATTATTGCGATACCAATTATACGGACACTCTCGGCAGATTTTTGCTGTCGCCACCATGTTCTGTAACAAGTTGAAATCGGAACATGCACCCATGCATCGTAACTTTTACAAGCGGCTAAGAGCGTGCGAGTGCTGTTAAAGCAGAGGTCAATGAGACGGCCTATATCTATCGCCTGGAGGGTGGATACGATCATGTTAGAGCTGCCGTCAGGATGCTCAACAGGAAAAAAACCACCTGTCTTGAACGAGCATCAAATAAACACAAGAGGCGGAGGAGGGTTACTCGAGTAGCAACATCCAACTTTGATTTAATGGCGTGGTCGCGATCGCTGGCGTGCGTGCTATCTCGGCAAGCATCAGTGCGCATTCAACGCAAAGAGACTGTGTGTAAAGAGCACTTCTTCCTGGAGTGGGTGTATTAGCTTACACCAGCGTTTTGTAAGAGCTCCGCGATATCGGATTCAAAAGCTGCCAGCTTCCCTTCATATAACATTACAATTCGTTACTATTGCATCCATGGCATTCCATTCAACGGGCCTGAGCTAATCGGCTCCCCACAGGGGCATCTGCGTAAGTAGGCGTTTGGTGCGTAGTGACACCACGGACCCGAGCTAACGGGGGAGTTTCAACTCCCTCCCACGCCTAGCCGTGCATGGCTTTGCCGTGTCCGGGGAAAAGGGAATCCTAGGGGTTGAGCCAATGCCGGGTGATTGGACCTTTAAGGCCCCCCGGCAGAGGCAACACATCCCTTTGGCCCCGGCTTCACGTAGACGGCACCCCTGGGCTGTGCCACTCAGGGAAATTCGGCAGTGACCTTTTCCTATCTCTCTCTCTCCCTACATCTTCGTCTTTTCTCCTCTTCAAATCTATTCTGTCTTCTAATTTCTTCTGTTACTTCCCCAATTTCATAGGCAGCTTGGGTTAACCTTGTGCAACTAGCCAACCTTGACCTACACGCCTTAGGTTATCGTAGCGGTGTATGGCTGGCATCTGCATGTTTCGTGTTTCATGAATCTTGTAGCGTCCCCTTGTTGGGCTCCGTTGTGGGTGGCCGCCATCGTTTCTGAATTACATTCCTCTATCATGCAAGAACCTTTACACTCCTCACTGATCGTGCCGCTTCAAAGCGCGTACGCACCGACAAATTGTCCTTTTTCAGCTGACCCAAAGAAGTATTCCCTCGCTATGATGTCGTACACAGTGAGAAGCCCAACAAAACAGCCAGAACAGTGTCTCCGTTCATAGTGTCGCAGTCACTAACAGCCACGTTAGGTGATGGCTATAAAGTTTCAAAAATGGCTAGTGGCGACCTTCTTTTAGAACTCCGTGACAAAACACAATTTGACAAACTAAAGAACCTTGCAACATTCGGCGACATCCCCATCAGCGTAACACCTCATCGATCTATGAACTCCGCACGTGGAGTTGTTTCCGACACAGACCTCCTTGACTTGAAGGAGGCTGAACTCCTCGAGGGCTAAAAAGAACAGAATGTGACCAATGTGAAGCGAATCATCATC